TATATATATATATATATATATTATTGAATCATGATTTGTTGTGAATCAATGAATTGAGCTAAGTTAGGAGAGAGAGACAGAAATAAGAGTGAACAATAACAAACAGAAATATGTTATGTGGTCTTGTTTTATTCATGAAATGATCATTCTATTTATATGAGAGAGAATATAATTTAATGATATTATATTTTACTTATATTTTAAAGAAAGATATACATGATGTTTACATGTTTGAAGCTGTAGTTTGAATCTTCTTTGACACACTCGACTATGTCTTAATTAGCTTCAGGTCGGCAAGATCCTTAATCAATTGATATTTGTTTGGTCGGTTTGCACTTGGTCGATATTGGTCGGCAAATGGATCATGACCAATGGGGTCTCTGAGTGTCATTGAGATGGTGCAGAAACTGGAGATCACAAGCGAACCAGATCTCCCATTTTGTCAACTTTATTGTGATAACATCTTCCGATTGTCTTCTCTCCAATCCCCTGGTTCGGTAAGATTTGACCTCTTTGACTTGATCGATACAACTTTGTTCATATTACATTCATGTAAATATTAAATGTATAATAAAATTTTATGGTAGATATGTAAATTTTTCAATTCCGTTAGCACAAACAATTGCTTATCATAGAATTAACCCCAGAAAAAATGACAAAAGGGGATTTCTCCAATTATGTTCTTCCCAAAACATACTTTTCAGCCAAAATGTGCAAAACAAGATATTACTTGAATTAATTAGACATCATTATGACTCTTCTTTTATAAATATCCACAATACCTTTCCCTCTCCTCCCTCCCATGGCCGACCGGTGCTCCATCTCTTTTGCTTCTCCACCTTCAAATACCTGTTCCTCATGATCTGTTCTCAAAACAGAGAACTTGCAGAGTTTCCAGACTCCAAACCTCCCGCCATGCTCGGAAACTCTCACACAGGCTTAGCTCCGCCGCTCGCCGCCCCATCGGAGAGCGGCATAACCATCTCCGGCGGCCTTCCGTTCTACTCCAAAAAGCGCCCAAGGGATCCCCTTTCCTTCCTCGGCGAAGACCTCTTCCCCTGTTTTCAGCAGCAGATGCTCGATCTCGATCGCCTCCTCCTCCATCACGTCAGTTCCCTTTCCCCATTAATCCAAAACATATCACAGATCTGCTTATTTCCGCCTATAAAAGAATAAAAATCATCTTTTTTTTATCTCACAGACAGAGAGAATGAGGCTGGAGATCACCGAAAGGCGGAGGAGGTTCTCCCGGCAGCTAATGGCGGCGATGGAGGACGGAATCAGTAAGCGATTGAAGGCGAAAGAAGACGAGATTGAGAGGATGAGGAAACTGAATTGGGCGATGGAGGAACGAATCAGGACACTTTCGGTCGAGAATGAGATTTGGAAGGAGCTCGCTCAGACCAACGAAGCGACGGCGAATCTCCTCCGCACGAATCTCGAGCAGATCCTCACCAGCCAGATTCGAATTAAAGAGGAGCAACGGCTAGTTGATGAAGCTTCTCCGGCTGATGATGCTGAATCCTGCTGGTTAATGATGATAGAGATACGTCGCCGGCGTCGCCGGATGCGGCTGCGGGGTTAGTGAGAGCTTGCCGGAGTTGTGGGGGGAGGGAGACGACTGTGCTGATTCTACCTTGCCGCCATTTGTGTCTCTGTGCTTCCTGTGCTCCGATTGTACAGTGTTGTCCCGTTTGTAGTTGCGCTAATACGGGTACTGTTAATGTAATTTTATCATGAATATTTTTTAATTAAATAAATAAATATAATATTATTAATCGAAGTATTTACATACATACCACTTAATTATTATAATTTTTGTACATTTATGAGACTTTAATTCATGTTATTAGGACTAAAGTTTAGATGTTAGATGTATCAAACAAATGTGTTTTATATAAGAAAATAATATGAATGATATTGTCATGTAATATTGTAGATTTACATTTCACATAAGTAAATATTAAAATTAAAGTGTAAATATGTAATTAATATTTACATATTGAAGAATATTGAATTACGATATAAGAATAGAGGATAGTAGAGACACTTTATGAGATGTGGTCGTAGAGGATGTTGGAGGTCCGTGATGTTAACGAGGCGCAACATTATAAATCGATGACTCAAACCTACTAGGCTTAGTCGGCGTTGCCAATCGGTTGAGCTCGATTGACTTCAGGTAGACAAGATTACTTTGGTGGGTTAGACTTTGTCGGTGATATGGTCTTGTTACTAACCCTCTATCATTGGCGAGGAACACCGAGCGGCGTCGGATTATCGAGCAGAGGGTGGATCATTGTAGTCTGATAGATAGTTTGCTCACCAATGATGAGAGCCTGATCGATGACTATAAGACTCTTTGTTGCGGCATTCATTCTTGATCTCTGTTGAATAGTCTCGAGGGCTTTTGTGAGGCGGTCGATAATACCATGGAATATATATATTATTTAAATTAAAAAATATCTTGCACATAAAATTAAAAATGGCAACTTTACTTTTTTACTTTCATACCATCTAAATCTTCATATAACATAAAAAAATATCACTATATAAACATTTAAGAAGTGGAAGGCACATGTTGATGCATATGTAAGGTGGATGTACATGTAAGGTGGCATATGTGTAAAAACTAAAGTTTTGGTATTCATATGTCAGATATGTAAATATATAAGAATAAAGGGTTATGTAAGTAAATCTGCAGATTAAAAAAAAATATATATATTTATTTGTAAGAAAGCTATTTAGCATACCACCAGATCACCTGCAGCGGATCCGCCCACGTGAAGCCTGGGAGCAGGCCGTTGGGCCCACATGTGCTGGGCTAACAGACGGAGCATTATATCTAGGCCCACGAGCTCTCCGTTTACTGGCCATCGCATGCGGGTCACGTGACCCGTTCCCGGTCAAACTAAAACTGCTTTAAAACGTACAATCAATTCCCATTTAAAAGTTGGGGACTATTATGCGGGCGGATATCCACGAGGGGGAACCGTGGGACCCACTTGCTCTATTTATTTTTTTTTATTTTTAATTTTTTTTTTAAAAAAGTGGGACCCACGTGTTGTTTCTCCGCAAGGGACAACATTGCCAGCTCATGGTGCGGGGCCCAGCGGACCCCACGGCGGGCTTTGTCCTCGGAAGGCGTTAGCTTTGGGTTAATCTAATTGTGGGGCCCGCACCATTTGCCTCGTGGCCCCACATCCAACTGTTTTGATTCAAACCGATGAAAGTAGTTGGATGAGTGCAATGTATCTAAAAAAATATTATCACGACTTCGGATGCATTCGAAGTCTAATGATGTAGGCGTCACGTGTTAAGTGAGTCCTATCATTCTTAACTGTCTAATGCCGGTATATTACGGTGGGGCTCACTTGACACGTGACACCCACCATTGGACTCCTAACGCAAACTACTTTGAGAGTCCTGATGTAATATTATCTAAGTTGGGCGTCTTTCCTAATTTTGCTTTATATGACAATAAAATAATAAATATTTTAAGAATTTACAAAAATATCACAAAATTATTATAAATTTACATATTTAACCTCTAAGATTTTATATTCAGTTATGTACCACTCAGTGCCTAAACAACATTAAAACATATTTATGAACTTGTGTATTTTACTTATATAAACTAATATGAAATGAAATTTTTATGTAATTAACATAAATGTTATATGCGTAAATAGAAAAATGTGGGTGTAATTTACATGTTAGATAATGATGTTTTGACAAGATAATATTTTGGTGAGATATTATTATTATTATTATTATTATTATTTATTGTTAAGTATGGTTTGTGATGTGATAAGATGAAGTTGAGTTAAAGAGTTGTTATATTTAATTTTGTTTCTTTCATCTTCTTGATAAAATTCTTAGGCATGTTTTGTACTCCAAGAAGGAATGGACGGTGGAGATTGAAGGATGGAGACATATCATTTTCCCTAAAGTTGATGGGCATAAGAAAGATGTGCTTGCAAGGAAGGCAGTTGAAGAGTCTCATAGAGCATGAATAAGAAGCTTTGATTGTGATGAGCAATAAGATCATGAGTCCTACTCGTTGCAACTCTTTGGTTGACATCTGCAGCTTGGGGTCACGAGTTTGAGCCTGCCTATGTGCGGGATGAAATGGTTACTCAACTAAGGTTGGTTGGGGGCTTGTATCATAGCCTCTGACCAATCTTTGAAAAAAATAATATTTATACACACATATGTATATGTATGTATGTATATAAACATGTATATGTATCTATGTGCATATAAATATATCTTTTTTTATATGTGTATGTTTGTGTATACATCTTACATGTATGGTATGCATATGCATCCATATATGTATATGTCATACAAAAGAGTCTATTTGAGATTATATAAATAGATACATACGAATGTTATGTCATTTTACATATAGACCATACAATTCTTATGTAGTCAAGTATTTAACAGCTAAACTTTCATATTTGCATACATAAAACTAAAGCCTTTCACATCATTGACATTTATTAAAAATGCACCATAGTGGTTATGCTTGGGATCTCATGATCATGTGTTGCTTGCCTCAAATGATGGTGATTATATGGTAAATTAATCAACTTGGTACCAATTAGGAGTAATTACCCTCCTCCCCATGATATTTTAATAATTGCACCTTGAATAAGATGCATTTTTCTAATAAGCAAATCAAAAAAATAATGAAAGTTGTCAGCATGGGTATTTGTGTAATTCACTTTTCTTTTGTGGACTTTGCATTGGAGCAATGAACATGGAACCACTTCCTAACTTATATTATTGAGATCATGCCAAGCATTTCATAATTAAAAATATATTTTTCTAGAATTTCTCATAGCTAGTTTATTTTATTAAATTTTAAAGAAAGGGAAAGGACACCATAATAATAATAATAATAATAATAATTATTATTATTATTATTTTAGGGTCCTTACCTTGTTGGTATGTCACCATAATAATAATAATAATAATTATTATTATTATTTTAGAGTCCTTACCTTGATGGTGTGTCATAAAATCACATATCAATGTCATGTGGCCCATTTTACTTTTCAAGGTTTTCTTATCTTGATTTTTAATTTGAAGCACTCATAATATCTTATTCTATTAGGGTTTTATTTGTAGTTAGATTTGTAATTTGATATTAGATGTTTGATTTGGTTATAATTAATATATAATTAAATTTGTTTGCAAATCAAAACTAAATTATTTTTATGATGTATGTGGTGTTGCAAAAAAAATTGGAAATTTGGAAAATATATTTTTCATAATTATGTTTTCTTAGGGTCTGTATTGGGCAGCTGCATTTTATTAATAGGTTGCTGAAAAATAATTCATTGTTAAAAAAATTGTGGTGGCTATTACATTTTTTTTTTTGGTAAAAACGAAACCACAGCTTGAAAGTTGCTACCGCACCTAGTCATAAACGGTTTGAAAATGCTGATTTTAGTGATTTGAAAATGTAGTTTTTTTAATAAGTTGTTAAAACACAGTTTACCCAAACAGGAATTGTTGCGTTTACAAAATGCACTGCACCAAGTAAGCCGCCCCAAACGGGACCTTAATAATATTCAAACAAAATTTTACACCGACCAAAAAAATAAAAATAAAAATGAAAAACATAATTCTTTTTCTAAATGAAATAATTAGGTAACAACATTTTTAATTGAATTACTTTGTACTTCTTTCTTTTATTTCATTTTTATTACTTACCTCAAACAATCAAAATACTAGTTTAACATATGCATTTTGTAACTTTTATAATAATATTGATTGACTTATGATAAATTATATATTTGTACAAAAACTTAATTGCTTATTAATTTAATTTTTTTAAGCATGTTGAAAGTATGATATTAACCTAATTATATTCATAAAAAACACAACTTTGCATTCTCTCTCTCTCTCTCTATATATATATATATATATATATATATATATATATCACAAGTCCAATCTATCTTTCCTCATCATGACAATGAGGTGGTGGACAAGTCATAATAGTACTAAGTCTGACAAAATTATTTAAGATATAGTTGTTTTCATTATTATTTTTCTCATTTCTTGCAATCTTGTTCTCTTGTGGGGCATAAGAGTTAGTTCATGAGGAAGCACATAAGAATCTTAGGCCAATTTACTGATTTTTTTTTATTTTTGTTAATTTTTTTTATGATGGTGGTGTGGGCCATACTTAGAGTGAAAGAGAGATGTGGAAAGGTACTATATGCTATAACTTAATTGAGAGGAAGATATTGATAGATATCTACATATCATGTTCCTTGCACTTAAAGGTAATAATGATAGTTTGGAAGCTTTCATGATGACCAATTATAGATCATTGTTGCAAAAATACAATTTTTTTTTTTTCATTTGAGAAAAAAAAATAATTTTTTTATGGTATACATATTATAAATGATTGTCAGACTATTATACGAGCTCTTGATCATCCTCATGTGCTTAACTATTTGATCCCGCACTCAAATTGGCTCGAACTCGTAATCCCAAGAGACTTACAACTGACAACAGAGAGTATATATATATATATATATTATGATCACATCAAATTAAAATTTATGAGAATTATTCATTTGATCATCATTTTAGGTCTTTTTCATGGAATAGGTCTCATTATCTAAATAATGAGTCATTTGTCTTATCTAATGTTATATTGGAGCATGCCATCACCATCTTGAAAATTGCAATGATGGGATCATGTTATAGAAAAATTTAAAGAAGAATTTACATACATACCAAATAATTACATACATAACAAATAATTCATATGTAGTTATCTAACCAATACTTCAATTTTAATTTTTGTATTTATAATACTTTGCTGATGTATAAACAAGTATTTTAATTTTTAAAAGATAGTAAGATTAGTGCTTTTTAATCTCATATAAGAGATTTGAGGGTTATATATATAAAAGTCAAAATTTAGGCATTAGATATAAATACATAGTTATTATATGCCATATTTCTATATCTATATCAGGTTGATTTTTTTTTTTTTTTGACCGAGTTCAAGCCACACGCAGACCTGCTCGAAGTGGCTCGAGATGGCTCAAATTATTTTTTATTTATAAAAATTATATGTTATGCTAAATAGAATTGAATATAATGAGCTATGAGCCGATCTCGAATCGGAAAAAAAAAATCAAATTAACTCAATCCAGTTTAACTTAGTTTGAGCCACTTGGTTTCAATTTTGAGACATATCAAGCTGATTTAGATAGGAATGGATCCAAATAACTCAAATTTAAGGCAACTCGTTTCCCCGGATCGAGTTTGACTTAATTTTGAGTGAGTCTGGCAGCTCAAAATCGAAAATAACAAGTCATTAGCCAAATTCGATTCAAACTAAATTCATTCGAGCCGATTTTGAGACAGCCACAGCTCTGCTCAGAATAGACTCGTTTACAAACTTATCTATTTATTTCAATTTCTCATAAATCTATCCATATTATATTAAAAATAATTTAATTATAACATTGAGGCCATTTCAATGTAGCAAATTTGGGAAAATCAATAAATTGGCACATTGTCAAAAGGCCCTTATTAATACCTTATATTCTTTATTTTTATTAGGGGTATTTAAATAAATAGCATACACTTCTTTTGTATTTACATATCTAACATTTAAACTTGGATATTTACATGCATATCACTCAAATTATTACATAAAAAAATATCATTATTATGCAATTTTAGAAGGGAAACAAATCATTTTTATACTTAAAAAATGAGGCATTTAAATGCTTACCACCCAATTGCCATGCATTTGCCTAACACTAAACTTTACATTTTGCTATTATATCACTTAAATAATTCATATTACATAAAAATCACTAGATTTATTGTGTAATTTTTTATGGGACGAATACATACAGGGTAGCCAAGCACCCTCTTTCATTCATTTTTCATATTCTCACTCAAATATCAAAGGTCGTGATATTTTTGAGAGATTTACATACACCACACAATGAATCGAAAATAACAAGTCATTAGCCAAATTCGATTCAAACTAAATTCATTCGAGCCGATTTTGAGACAGCCACAGCTCTGCTCAGAATAGACTCGTTTACAAACTTATCTATTTATTTCAATTTCTCATAAATCTATCCATATTATATTAAAAATAATTTAATTATAACATTGAGGCCATTTCAATGTAGCAAATTTGGGAAAATCAATAAATTGGCACTCTGTCAAAAGGCCCTTATTAATACCTTATATTCTTTATTATTATTAGGGGTATTTAAATAAATAGCATACACTTCTTTGCATACAATTCTTATGTATTTACATATCTAACATTTAAACTTGGATATTTACATGCATATCACTCAAATTATTACATAAAAAAATATCATTATTATGCAATTTTAGAAGGGAAACAAATCATTTTTATACTTAAAAAATGAGGCATTTAAATGCTTACCACCCAATTGCCATGCATTTGCCTAACACTAAACTTTACATTTTGCTATTATATCACTTAAATCATTCATATTACATAAAAATCACCTCTATTTTAAGGGCACCCAAAACATTATTATTTACAAATCAAGCCCCCATTTCATTCATTTTTCAAACTCTCACTCAAATATCAAAGGCCGTGATAGTTTAGAGAGATTTACATACGCCACACAATTCCACACAATGCTTATAAACTTACATATCTAGGATTGAAACTTTCATATTTACTTGAAAAAAACTGCTACAAATGATTTCCGCGCTTTATAAAGGCTATCAAAGATAAAAATTTGTGTTATTTTCATTGCAGCAAATTTTAATCCGCTATAGTTGTTACCACTGCAAAGACTTTTAACAACAATTTTAAAATAACACGGTAAATCTTTAAGATCGTCCTAAAATACCTTTGATAAAATAAAGCGTACCATTTCATGCATACATTGTCATTATCATAGCAATAAAGGTTACAAAGATAAAGATGAAAATTTGATATTGAATATATAAATATATAGGGTTTGGCCAATGTGACATTATAATCATAAAACTTCCAACATTTCTAGAAGCCACATGTTCCAGTCATTAAAAAATATTCTGTCTGGACGTTCGCACGGTTAATCATAGGTGGCCACGTTACCAGCCAACAACATGTATGGCAAAGCGACCGCCATTAGTTGGTCGTCATGTCCAAACGAAATATTTTCTCCACAACAAATACAAACAGAGTAGTGGACGTTCGCACGGTTAATCATAGGTGGCCACGTTGCCAGCCAATAACATGTATGACAACGTGACCACCATTAGTTGGCCGTCATGTCCAAGCGGAATATTTTCTCCACAACAAATACAAACAGAGTAGCATGTGAATCAAATAGGCAAAAACAAGTACAAACAAAAAGTAAAAAAAAAAAACTACAATAACAACCTAAAAAAAAGATTAGGGAGAAAATGCCATTAGAACTATTCTATAAGATTAGGTGGTAAAGCAATGACAAGTTAGCAAAAGCGTTTTTTCTCCTACAAACCTTCTCCACAGTCCTCACATGGCATCCATCAGCTTCTTGAAACAAACACTGATTCGAGCCGCCACATCTTTCAAGCAGAGCACAAAATAAAATAAAGGAACAAATGTAATCGAAATCATTTTTTTTTTCTTAAGAGCATTTACAGATAAGTATATACAAACTATGCCTCCATAAACTCAGCTATGTCTTTCAGCTAATTGTCGACGGTCTGAATTTCACCCTTCATTATTCGATTGTTGCTCGAGACATTAAAACCGAGCACCGCCGCGCTCACTTTCTTCCCTTTCTTTCCTTTCTTCTTCCCCGCCTTGCCGGTCTCTGCATCCACTGTGGAACCAGAACCTGCTACTTGATGAACTGGAGTAAGCCGGGCGTCGGTTGCACGGAATGCTAATTCGATTACTTCCGGCGATAAGAAGTCCTTGTAGCTGAGGAATTTATCTATGAACTCATGGTTGGGATCGAAGGGCCCAAGATTTGCTTTAAGAAGCATTTCAGCTTCTGTGGGGGACTGCTTCGAGCAGTATTCCAGGAAACTAGTATCTGCTGATCGAAGGGGGCAGAAAGAAATTAGCCTTTAATACTACAAATTTAATGAAGGGGAATTGATCTACAAACCACCCAATTCCTAAGTATTTACATATCTAACATCTGAACTCTATTTTGCTTTACATTTATAACAACCCCAAATCTTCCATATCACATCAAAAAGACCACTATATAAATGTTTGAAAAATGAAATACTCCTTTTCATGCATCGGTAAATATGATTAAAATTTAAGATTTAGTAACATTTATGTATGTAACTTCGATTTTTACATTTATAACACCCTAATCTTTTATATGATATAAAACATACCATAATTATTAACTTCTAAAAAGCAAAATAAACATTTTCATGCATTGTTAGAATGCTATAAATGAAAAAAAAAAAATCAAAGTTTTTATTAAATACGTAAATACAAAGGAAAGGTGCGGTACATTTGAAAATTTTCAAAAATTATTCTTACCATTTGCCCCGGTGAGCCTGGCTAGTTCTTTATGGCACCAATCTCTGAAATCCGTAGCCTCTGCAAGTTAAATGGAGTTCATTTTAAAAAGTTTTAAGACTGGTGCCAGTGAAGTTATAGTAGAAAGAAACCTGAAAGATTGATAGTTTCATCATCCTTCTTGTCGCCTCTAGAAGCTGACAAAAGAGAAGCAGAAGGACTGTGCAATGAAGGCCTGCTGTTGTATGACTTATGCCGGCTAATTGTCATTGGATTTGTTTTTGCAGGAGTTTTTGCACTGGAGCTGTTAGAATTTCTGAGGGATGGAAAATCAGACCTGTTGGCAAGAATTTTTTTGATATCAATAAGTCAATTGGACATGCAATTGATCATAAACACAGATGGCACCAAATAATATGTAAAAATAAAGGCAATTTTAATTTTTGGGAAATTTACATGCATATACCACCCGATTCCTATGCATTTACATATCTGAGACCTAAACTTTACTTCTTATATTAATACCACCCAAATCTTTCATATCACATCATTTGCCCATCATTTTAACTTTTCAAAAGTGAAATACACCTTTTCAAGCATTGATAAGGTGGCATGTACGAATTGAAATTTAGGTGTTATATGTGTAAATACATAGGAATTAAGGGGTATGTATGTAAATCTTCCTAATCAGTTTAGCTTGGTGCAGCATTGCAATGTCTCCGAATCAAAATTGTGAAAAACTTTTGTCAAGCTTAAGGTAAAAGTGTAGCGAGATATAAATCAATGAGCAGTGAGAATAAAAAATATTATGAATGCAAGTCACCTTAGCCTAATGGTTGAAAAGTGTCTTGGTTGAAAGAAATAAGCCGGATGCATCCCTCCGCTTCAACCAACCAACTTGATTTATACTAATAACATCCTTATCTATATTACCGCCAATTTGAACAATTGATCCGAGATATCTAAAACGTTCACATCTTTTAATGATTTGATCGCCCATAAAGAGCTACTATTACCAAAATTACATTCCACATATTCATTTTTAAATCTGTTCAAATGAATGCCTTCAGACTATGTTAACGTGGGGGGGGGGGGGGGGTTGTTTGGGATGAGAAAAAAATTTATGAATAGATTAACATTGAAATAACTGAGAATGATTTGGGGAAAAAACAGGCCATTTACATGCATATTACACAATGCTTACCTATTTACACGTCTTAAACTTTAATATTTACATTCATAACACTCAATACCACTTCACCAACTTTTTAAAAGACAAATGCACTTTTTCATGCATAGGTTTATAGCATCAAGGTGTTATAAACGTAAATATCAAACTTCAGGTGTTAGATATGTGAATCCATAAGAATTGTGATATGTATGCAAGTTTCCCAAAATATTATCATGGGAAATCCTTATCCAGGAACTGTTAGAATGGAAGACCCTCAGAATATGGGAAAACCAAAAGGTTAGAACAAAGAAGCTAACGTCTCCTTGGTTTAAGCGAGGCATATAGGATCACTAAAAGTACCGGATGATACAGTCCAAAATTTTGACCATGAAATGCTAAAAAAGTAATATGGCTAATAATTCTCATGTCATATAGAATTTCGCAACTTTTCATGTACAACAACAAATTGGCCATTACCAGTCCATTGTTGATAATACCTCAACCAAATTAAAGATAAAAAGCATTCTCCATCAACCACAACAAAAAGAAGGCATCATCATGGTACATTCGACTATTTAATTTAATATTGGTAATAATTGCACACTTTTGATGAAATAGAATGGAATACACAAAAGAAAATCAAAATAAAGAGAAATGAGTGCACAAGTTTCTACTAAGTTAAATAGAAATTTAGATAATATTCCTGAAAGAGTCTTAAGCATGTAGAGGAAAATTAAACGGAAGAAAGAAAATATTGAGGGTGCCCAACAGTGCTCGAAGCTCTAGCTTGCAGCTTATGACTTCAATTCATCCATGGAGTAATGGACAACAAGACATTGGTGTAATCATTGTCCAAAAACTAGATAACATTATAGTAACAATTAAAAGACGCACAGAAACGCACAGAAAACCACATGAGTAAAAATTAAGGAAGCACGAAATGCATGGCAACACAATCACCATTGAGACTCATCATTCGACCTTACTTCGTTCAGCAAAAGAGCAATTTGAATTCCTTCAAAATTTACATCAGAAACAACTTAAGTCTGAACAAGCCTTGTAGAATATTGTTTAGGGTTTAGGGTTTAGGGTTTAGGGTTTAGGGTTTGTTTGAGATCACTTTTTTTAGGGATAAGCTAAAGGCTTGTTTGAGATCACTATTTTTTTTCTTTTATTTTAAGAACATGTTTGTTTATTGTATTTTTTACAAGTTTTTGTTGTTTTGCATGGTTTTTGAAAGCAGACTGGACCGGCCCGTTTGACGAGTTCAACCGCGAACCAATCATTCATCCGGTTCGGTCCAAGCTCAAAACTATTTCTGCAGACAACAGTGAATGAACCGGTCAGAACTGGTGAACCATCTGGTTTAAAAGAATCGTCCAGTTCAAATATTATTCATTTTTAGCCTTTTGATTTTCTCTACTTTCTCTTATTTAGAGAGTTATAGCATTCTTCTCCTTCAAGTAGTGAGTTGTATCTTGATCAAAAGCAGGAATTAGAACAATCTTGGCGTTCATACCTCGCCAGTATCATCAAACAACGGTGTTTGCTATTATTTTGTTCCGAGACAGCAACATTAACTACTTAGTTTCCTTCCAATCTTTGTTGTCCAACCGTATTCTCCATTCTTGCTATTCTACAACCACTCTCATGCTAGATTTGATCCTCAAATACCTTCTAAAACCCCCAAAATGGTGTCACAACTTTAAGAATATTCAATGAAAAATATTTCAAGATTAAAGATTTGGTATAGCCTTGGCAATTCCTTGGCATGAAAATTGCTTGATCAACAAAAATGTATCTCAACGAAAATATAACCTTAATCTCTCCTAAAAGAAAGTGGGATGATGAGATGTAAACCAACGGACAATTTTAGTATTCAAATATTAAGATGGGAACTGAAAATTGAAGTCTTGCTGATAAAGTAAGATATGGAAAACTAATTTATTGAGCACATACCAGATAAGATATTTGCATCTTAGTTTCCATGGCCAACAAATCATTAAAATAGTCCAACAAAAACGCACATGATTGCAATTTTTTAAATACTTCAATATCTAAAGAAAATCCGAGAACAAGACTATCTTTGAAAACTCCCAATTAGCGTGTGGAAGTGTTCCCTGATGCAAACTAGGTAAGTTTTATCACTGATAGAAGATCAACCACTACATCTTGTGCCACTACAAATGAATAATCAAACTTAGCCACCTAGAGAAGGAAGAAACAAGAAGATGAAACAAGAAGCAAAGCCAAAGCAGAATTCATAGCTATCTTGCACGGAATATATTTTGTAAAGTGCCACAAAAATTGAAGAAATAATCCAATGAATAATTATATGATAATAAAACTAAAGTTAGACTTGCAAAGAATCTTGTCCTTCATAATTGAGCCAAGCAATTGAAATTTCATAAGAGAAAAGATTGATGATAATACTATCCAACTTAAATTCAATCCCTCAAATCTTCAATGGGATAATATTTCTTACTAAGGATGTTCATGCAATAACTTCATGATTCTAAACTTCAAGTTGAGTAGGTTGAACCACTAAGCAACTTGAGGTTGGTATTGATTGTTGCTGGAATGACTCACCAACCCCGGAAGTTCCCATTTTTGCAGCTTCCAAATCATCAATCCAAGTATTTGATCTTTCCAGCTACATAGATTAATCCACCTCATTAATCTAAGGCATTGTTCTTCCCTTCTTTGTACATCATTAAATATAATAAAGATTATAATTCGCATATTTGCATCATATAATATATATTAATATTTTTCCTTTATGATCATTCATGTTTCAGAAAGTGTCCGTTTGTCGTTCTAGTGGATCGCCTCAGTCGCTTTTCAATTTAAACATAATTTGTCTCCAGAATCGATAATTGGATCAATAAAATTTCTCAGGGAAATAGAAGAAGACAACATAATAAGGCTACATCAACTTGCTACCAAGACAAGCTCTCCTCCTAAAGTAAATAGGTTACATTGTAGTGGAATTTCAAGCAGCCTTTAAGCTGCAATTGCTTCATTTAATCAGTGCTCGGTAAACAGAAAATACTAAACTGAAGTTTTAAAATAATAATATCTGATTAGTATAGTCAGGTAATTTCTGAAGATCAAGGTAGGATTTAGGTTAAATTTAAAAAACTTGAGACCGTTATCAAATAATGCCAAACAAGAAACTGAAAATGCACAAAGTTATGCGATAACAAGAAACTGAAAGTGCACAAAGTTGATGTTCAAAACATACTGTTCTTCTTGTTGCTTTGGATGATCGACAAGATCCCAAAATAGATCAGCTTCTACTTTAGGTTTCAACTGTCTTAATGTAAGTGTGCTGCTGCCATGAATGGGAGAGGAGCCACTAGAGGGATATGATCCTACAACCTGCAAAGAACCAGAACCATGGTTTCCCAGATTAGATTGCACTTTTGTTGGAGTGGTCATAGCAATATTCTGCTGCGAATATAATTTATTTTCCTGCTCTTTCTGAATGTCCCTCAGAGAAGTAGGTTTTTGAAGTTTGAACGTATCCATAGACCACGCTGGTGCTTGCGAGGAATTTGATTGTTCTCCCTTCCAAGAAATAAAATCAGCTAGAGAAGCAGTCGGTGGAGCAGGTAACCCTTCCTTCTCCTTTTGTGTCTGATTCTGATCTTTCTCCCTTTCCACAGGTAAGGAGGAGGAGGAAGTATCAAATGAACTAACTGGTGAAGAGCTCTTAGCTCCGGAAACTTTAGCCTTCGGCCCCTTTTTTCGAACCTTTTTGGAGTCTTTAGTCTCAATAAAACCTTCATCATGAATAGCTGATGCATCAACTGAAGTAGTGGCCGATATAACCGGTGACAAAAGTTGCCCTTTAAGGTCTCTAGAAATATTAACATCAAAAACAGCTGACGAAAATTCCTCCTTGTTGTCTATGAAAATACTATCATCACCCACACTTGACTTGGCCAGAACTTCTTCAGCCAACAAATCATGAAGATGGCCAAGCCTGCTTTTAGAACTCAAATTACTGTCAGATCTCAAGACGTGCTCTGCATTTCTATCAACTTGTACGATAGCTCCACCAGGATTATGATCCAAACCAACTACAATTCCAGCCCAGGGTACTGATAATTGACAGCTAGTAGAGATGGGTTCAATTTCTGATGCCATATTTTCTATTTGAACCCTTTGCTGTTCCTCTGCTTGGATTTCTTTTAGTGATTTTACCTTGACCCCAGGAGCAGATTTCCAGGCCCGGAGGCTGGAGAACTCAGAGGTGCCACCATCTATGTACCCAACTTTCTTATTTGATGTTTCGGCTCCTTTATCTGTAACCGAAGCTGGAAGATGAGATTTCAAATAATCCGCAGGTATGAAAGAATTGTTAGAACTGTCCTCAACCGCAGTAGATACAAAATCATTAGGTTGCTTCAATTTGCCTGTCTGAGCCTCAGATAAATCATGAGACTTTAGATCCTCAATATCAAACGTTGACTTTAGCTGCTCCAATTGATTTGAGTTCGAAAATCCCCTTAGAAGGTCCAAAGCCAACTGTGTCTTTGAGTTTTTCTTTTTTCGTGCTTTTCTTTCTGTGCTTTTCTTTGTTTGACATGTTTCTACATTTTTTGAATCTTTCGCTGCAGAAAAATCAGTTCGATGTTGCTCAATAAAATCATCCTCTGAGGAAATTTTTATAGCACAAATTTGATTGACGATAGGGGATCCAAAACCAGAAGTACTTGAAGCTTCCTGTGACAATACAGAACATTCTGATGGAATAACTTCACTGGGCTGAGGCATTGATAGCTTGGGTTCTTTTGCATGACAATTTAGGTAAAGAGCATCGTCTGAAGAATCAAAAGCTTCCACAGGCTTCTCCAATGCATCAGAGATTAGTGAAGTCGCAACTTGCCCAAATGCGACAGATAAATTAGATGCATGATGATCACCAACATCTTGAATGCTTTCATGTTTTTTGGAAGGTAAAGCAATATCAAATATTTGATGCGGTAACTGCAATAATAAGGGTCCAGAACAGGATGGATTATTTGTATTATTGCTATACAGCAAATTTACTTTCTGAATAGTAGAATCACGTTCATCATGAAGATTATCTGCTAGTATATTCTCATTAGTCTGGGCCTCCTGTCTCTGGCTTATCAGAAAATTGTCAATTGAAACATCTCCAACTGAAACAGACGAATCCAATTTCTGTGGAGGCTCGCCAAAATGAGGACTACATTGATGTCCAGCAAGGAGTTGAGAAAGCAAAAGATGCTGTTGCTGGAGTAGGAGCTGCTGTTGCTGTTGCTGCAACTGCTGTTTGAGTACCAGACATTCATTAAACAAAGAGAGTTGTGATGGCACAGAAACTTGAGATTGCATAGGAGCCTGGGACTGTGAGTATTGTCGTGCAAGCATATTCAGCATTTGAGTATCTTGTGCTATATCTGAAGAACGCAACTGTTCAGGAGACACTATGCTAGCAGACTGGTTAGCTAAATGAGGCAAATATGGCAAATTATGAGGTTGCAGCAGCAGCTTCTGCTGCTCTCCAAACCCAAATTGTGGACCAAAATGCTGATTTTGATGAGCATCCATCATATTTTGGGGACAATTGTTGATCGGAGCTTGGGCATCAGGAAAATTTGAAAATGGAGATGCCCCAGAACTAACAGCAGGTGAAGGTGAATTTGAGATAATTCCAATAGTTGAAGCCATTGGAGAGGAGTCTCTCCCCGATACAAGAGGAAGAGAATTGGGTAGGGCATTCTGCCTCTGCTCTAACAGCCTCTTCTGGGCAAGCAGGTAGTTCACATCGCTCCCACTTTCTCCAACAAGTGAAGTTGAATACCTAGGACTGTGCATACCACCTTCATGCTGCATTCCTACGAAAAATTAAGCAATTAACAAAATAAGGAGCATAAAATTGTCTTACTTGATTGGCGTACATTAAGGGAATGAACAAAGAGAGTAAAGATAGAA